GGAACCCTGCATCTCTCTGCCATGAGCTTTACCAACCTATTTGGAGGGCTAAAAGCAGAAGAGCCTCCAGTCAGCTCCTGCTTGCCTGACAAGCATCTTACAGAGCCCAAACCAACTTTGAGGTAAATGAGAGTAAACGTATCTCTTCAGAGTAATTAGCTTTTCCAAACTAAGGGTTTGTAGGCACCATACTAAAGCCTCAGTACCCTATAAAGCAGTCTTTATTATCTCTGTTTTCTCTTATGGATCATTGAGTCCAGCTTCTAATGATTTGATGGTGGCAATTGGGATATTTGGGATTGTTGGATTTTTCACCCCACTAACTGGGACCTCTGAGGACTCAAACCTCCAAGTGAAAAGTGTCACTGTTTCCTATATTCTTTACTCAACTGAAATAGCTATATTTCAAGCTGTTGTGTTTTACACAGTTTCAGGTAAGGTATCGAAGACTGTTCTTTAGCAGTCCCTTTAGCTTACTTTATTAACTGGTATTGTTGTATTTTAATATTTTTAACAAGGAGATGCATAATCGTCAGTAATGATCCCTTTAACTCATGTAACATGCATAACCTCAGTACTGTTGGTCTGTTTGCAACTCCTTTGGCAAATTATTATTGTTTTTTAAATTTAAAATAGTCTTTTCTAAATCCTCGGCTAGAGTTTAGTATTTTAAGAATTGATTATTTATTTTTTTACATATCCTGAACTCTGTAAGCATAATAAAAATACATTTTCCACATGTTCTACTAGAACTATGCTAGTAAAAGTTCCTGAAATCAGAAACCTCAAACTGTGCGTCTTTGTTAATCTTCAGTAAGCCTTGAAAGAATCTCAGTTTGAAGACAATTAATGCAGTATTTTAAAATTATGAAAGCTTAAAATCAGTGGTTTTGTACAGGCACATTACAAAATTAGAAACATCCCAGCCTCTTGCGCAGTGCAGAATCCACCCTGAAGTTAAGGGGGAAAATAACAGAAAACTCCTTAGGGGATTTTTTTTTTTTTTTAAGGAGAACCGTTTTGGCCTACGTATGTTTAAGACTTCATAAGCACCACAGGGATGTGGGGAATGCCAGGAGAATGTCTTCTACTACACAGAACTTCAATCTATCTTGTTCTCTGCTTCAGGGGAATAGTAGCGAAAATGTGTAAAGATTACTGTCATCAATCTGCTTCTGTACTTTGGTTTTCTCTCCAGATAAGAACTGGGAAACTTTAGCTTTACGAAGGACATCAGAAGGGGGAAATTAAGCCTCCAAATGTTAATGCATTCCTCAGCTCAGGTCAAATTGACTTTGGTGTACCCATGGTGATTTGCATCCACAAAGATTCTGGCATTTGAATGTGCATTTGACTTTTAACAACTTCATGGTCTCTGCACCTGGAGACTGAAAGTGGAATAATGTAACAGCCACTGTCTTAGCTTTGTACCTTTCTAGATCAAAACAGGAAGGGCAATCATACTGGAAAGCAGTATCGTGAGCTCAAACTTACGATAGAGGATTTATTTGTTTGTTCATTTTAAGAATTCTCTAAAATCTTTTTCTCAGCACACAAGAAGCAAAGGCCCTATTAAGTCATCAAGATACTCCCACTGGGAGCCTGTTGCTTTCAAGTTTCCACCACAAACAAGTAAACAAAGTGATGGAACAGTCAACTAGTATTGAACAGCTGAAACAATTATCAGTGATTTTACTGTAAAATCTGAACAGCATCCACACTAGTAAAATAGAAATAAAAAGAAATGTGCAAAGAAGAGCCATCCCCATGTAGTGAGCATAAATTAATTTTCAATATGCAAATGATTAGCTGAACTTTTCACATAAATTTTACTTCGTTCCTTGTTCTGTAAGTCCTGTATTTCTGGTAGATATATCTAATAGAAACAGCCACAATCTAGAAACTTGGAGAAGTAAGGAGTAAGAGAGGGTAGTACATGTGTATAAAGTATTCACTGGTCTTGAGCCCCTATACTTTGTACAGAATATTATCAGTGTATTACCTTTCTGTAAACGCCATCCATAAGTGTTGAAGTCCAAAATATGACATTAGGCTCTGTGGACTGTCAGCATTTGCTTATATTTAACTGGTTACTAGTGTTGTAATTACAGTGAATTCCAGACTATTCATGCTTATAACTTCCTTTCTGCATTTGGAATTAAATTCAACCAATTCATTCTAAAGAATTAGCTAATCTTGTGATGGAAAGCGATGAAATCTATAGAATGTATTTCACAGACATTTCATGGCAGTTAGTGAGCTCATAAGTTTATCTTCAAGAGAACTGCCCCCAAATCAGCATCTGCCTCTTATTTCCTTTGTGTTTTGCTTTTTTCAGTTTTTTTTTTCTCTTTCACAGTCTAAATACAGTTTCAAAACAGTAATCTTGAGACACTTTTCCTATTGTTATTAATTCCATTTAATTCCACATAATCACTGTCTTTCGGTCTCATTATTTTGTTTTCCCATGGATGGTCTGCAAGTCCTCTGAAAGCAAAAGACTTTCACTGAAAAAGCAATATTGGCACATAATGGATCAATTAGGAAGGCATGTGGCACAGCAGAGTGAACAGATCTTGACTGTTTTGTAATAGTGAAGAATATTCTGATAAATACAGGTTGATATTTCTTTGAAACATTTCTCCAGCTGGAATATTTTTACTTAAAATTGGTTATTTTGCAGATCCCTTTTTACACATCTGAATATCTATCTAGAATCTATTTGTGTACATAGATGTATATTAAGAAGCACAGCTAAGCCATAAATAACATACACCAACACATATGGGAAACACACCAAAGTCTTCTGCAAAAAGACAGCAGCAGGGACCTGACACAGGACTGCTCTGTGTGTGTTGTAACCAGCATACTGAGGGCACTGCTGAAATAAAATGCATTGCTGTATGCCAGGTATTTTCCTAAAAATATAATCTATAACTGAGGCTAACTCTTGATATTTTTTGGTACAGTATTTGTCAGATTAACAGTGTAGGAATTCCATTCTTGGCTAAATAATCGAAAAGCCCAAGGTGGGGAATCTGCCTGTTTATGAGCTCTTTATGAGAATTAACTTTTTATGAATATCATACTTTGTGTAGGCACTTTCAAGAGGCAAATTGGTTTTGCAGTGTGTTGCAAATTCTGTTGCCTGTTCCCCCCAGGCTTAGGTTCTTTGTCAAGGAGAAAGGTGGAAGGATCTCTATTGCAACAGCATCACTTTAGAGAATGCTGACTTCCAGCAAAATTGGCTTATCCAGGGAGAAACTGCCCAGTAGGGATTGGAGCTGATCTCAAGATAGAGGAGTCTGTCAGCATTTGGGAAAGCAAAAGCTGTTTACTAAAATAGCAAGGCGGGGACGGACGGACAAGGACTTCTTCAATGGGATCAAATAAGGGGAATTTACTGAAGGAGTTGAACAAGGCAGAGGAAAGAGAAGGGGAAGGAAATGAAATGTCTTGTGAACGTAGTTCCCTGAGGACTCTCAAAGATGGAGTGAACCGAAGTATGCGGCACTGCGATAGTCAGTGTAGTTTCCTTATTGAAGCTTACCTGTTCTAAAAGACAAGTCTTATACTTGAATCATGGGAAAGATGTGGGTATTTCTGTGTGCACGGTGGTTTGTTTTTTTTTTTCAAAAGGCAAGTGTAGATCCAGAATCCCTGAATTCTGAGGGTATGCTGTAACTACTGCAGTATCTCTTGTGTCAGCAACAATGTGTGATTTTGGGGACAACTGGATGTCAGGGCTCCAGGTCCTCAAGCTGGTACAGAAACAATGCTCTGAAAAAGTGCCAGAGAGACAAAGTAAAGCAGCAGTGCTGCAGTATATTTGGTACAGGCCAGCTTAAAGCAGAGGAGTGTGACACCCAAGGCTTCTGCAATAAATTAATTAGACTAGAGCTTCTGTTTCTGTGGAAATAAGTTCAAGAATAAAATGTGAGTTACACAATTATTACAGATAGGCAGGCATTAAAGACATCTCTGGTGCCTTCTAACATCTTGGCCAGGATGGCAGACTTTAAGTTATTTATGGGCAGCCAGAACCTAATGCTTTTAATTTTCTAGATAGCTCAGGAGGCCAGTCAGATTGGCAATACGAGCAGAATGTGTTACGAAGCCCCAACTCCTACTGCCACAAATGAATAAAAGAAGAGGTTTGGGAGAAGATTCACAGTGTTGGTGGACCTGGCTATTCTGTTCATACCTGAGAATTTAATCTCACTCTCAGGGAGAAATCTTCTTTGGTTTACAGGGTGCTGTTACACTTTAATTTTTAAAGTCAAACTCATTTAAATGGATTTGCCCTTGATTCTTGATACGTACTACTGCCCATGCTGCATTCATTTTCTAATCATATGGAGGCCATAGACTGTACTCCACTGCAGAATTTATTATCCTATCCTTTAAACATACTGCTGTTACATGCTCAAAATCCAGCATGTCTATATGCTGTAGATATGTTTACCATTACCAAATTATGAGGCAGTTGAAAAATTGTATTTATCCACAATGCAATTGTTCTGCTTTCTCGGGGTTTTATTATACGGAAGGGATACCATCAAGGTCTATGAGTTAGACCACTACCTTTAAAATAGTAGTGCCCAAATGATGGTTCCCAGGCAGCATATTGCCTCCGAGATCCTTTGATACTGGTCACAGTTACAAGGAAATGAAAACATTAAAAATGGGGCCAGCAGGGAGAGAAGTGTGTAATGCTTCTCTGTCATGTTTCCTGCTCAGTACTGTTGCCCACTGGCCAAAGGAGGTGAGAGAGCCATTCTTAAACATGCGTGAAGAGAAACAGCTACCAGTTTCCTGTTTCAGCAGGTCTAATAGTATGACTGTTAGTTTTTGACATATGCACTTCAAAATATTTCCAGAGAAAACTGATGCATGCATAGGAATATTTTCTGTTAGCTATGCATGGGTTTCCATGCATAAGGAGAGTCTGAGCATTTCTCCCCACCAAAACCTAATGCCTGTCTCCTGTCTTTCTCTAGGTACCAGATACACACCGGCCTTCAGCACTCCATTATACGTCCAAGCCAGCCCAACTGCTTACCTCTGGATAACATCACACTACCTCAGAAGCTGAAGGAGGTTGGTTATTCAACGCACATGGTTGGCAAATGGCACTTGGGATTTTATCGCAGAGAATGCATGCCCACGCAGAGAGGATTTGACACTTTCTTCGGCTCCCTTTTAGGCAGCGGCGACTATTACACCCACTTCAAATGTGACAGCCCTGGGATATGTGGCTATGACCTGTATGAGAATGACAATGCAGCTTGGGATCACGACAACGGCATCTACTCCACACAGATGTACACACAGAAAGTACAACAAATCTTGGCTTCTCATAACCCCAGGAAACCTATATTCCTCTATATTGCTTACCAAGCTGTTCATTCGCCTTTGCAGGCACCAGGCAAGTATTTTGAACATTATCGATCGATAAATAACATCAATAGGCGAAGATATGCTGCAATGCTGGCTTGTTTGGATGAAGCCATAAACAATGTAACCCTTGCTTTAAAGCAGCATGGCTACTATGAGAATAGCATTATCATATATTCTTCAGATAATGGTGGGCAGCCAATGGCTGGAGGAAGCAACTGGCCTCTCCGAGGAAGCAAAGGGACCTATTGGGAAGGAGGGATCCGCGCTGTTGGATTTGTCCATAGTCCCCTTCTGAAAAACAAAGGGTCTGTGTGTAAGGAGCTTGTGCACATCACAGACTGGTTCCCCACTTTGATCACTCTGGCAGAAGGGCAGATCGATGAAGATATCCAGCTGGATGGTTATGATATATGGGAAACCATTAGTGAAGGCAGACGTTCTCCACGGGTAGACATCCTGCACAACATTGACCCAATTTACACCAAAGCCAAAAATGGGTCCTGGGCAGCTGGCTATGGGATCTGGAACACTGCGATTCAGTCTGCCATCAGAGTGAATCATTGGAAACTACTGACAGGAAATCCAGGATACAGTGACTGGGTACCTCCACAGGCCTTCAGTAACGCAGGCCCCAATCGCTGGCACAACGAACGTGTTTCTTGGTCAGCTGGCAAAACAGTGTGGCTCTTCAACATCACTGCTGATCCCTATGAACGAGTGGATCTCTCCACAAGGTATCCAGATGTAGTGAAGCAGCTGCTGCGGAGGCTTTCACAGTTCAATAAGACAGCAGTTCCCGTTCGATACCCACCGAAGGACCCTCGGAGTAACCCGAAGCTGAATGGAGGAGTCTGGGGTCCGTGGTTTAAAGAGGATGAGAAGAAAAAGAAAGCTGATAAAAGTAAAGGTGTGAATAAGCAAAAGAAGAACAAGAAAAAAACAAATCAGAAAAAAGGACAGTCGTTACATTGCCGTTCACGTCTTGCTGGTGGATAGACTCTAAGCACGCTCTTTTGCCAAGTCCAAGTCAGCTTAGCCAAACTTCTTGAACTTCAGACAGAATATACTAGAAATGCTAGCTCTGGACTGTGGATGAAGGTTGTCATCTTTAATTTTGTTCTGTGATTTCACCAGCACAGGATATGTCAAAGCTTCGCCTTGAGTGTACGTAAGCATCTACATGACAAACTTTCTCCTCTACAGGATGAATGGTGCTTGCCCATCACTGCTAAATTCTAGATAACAGCAGCAGTAATATCTCATTTCTGTAAACTAATTTTTGATGGACAAATGGTGGTTTCTTGCCTAAATTAGTTGGAATATTTGGAGAGTATGGAGATGTTAGTGGCAGATGTTCTCAAATTTACAAGATGATTCATAGAGGGAAAGGGAAAACAAAACTTGAGAAACTCCGTGGGTCAGAAAGTGTTAAGTCACCAAGCCATGACCTTCTCTGATACAACAGCAAAAACCTAAAGCCACCAGAGTAACTTCTTGGAGGTGCTGGGCAGGGGGCCATGGCCATGATGGGAGGAAAGCTGCTTTGAATTAGACTTTGTCTTACATAAATCAGAAATATTTTTTAAATGTCCTAGATGTGCTAAGCTCCCCCCATTTGTAATAAAACAAGAAGGTTGTTATTCAACACATATGAAGAGCTAGCACATGCCAGATATAATTTATTATAGGCATAGAGAAAAACATATCACCAAAGTGAATGTAATATTTTAACACTTTAAGATAACTATACAGCAATATGTAAAAGACATTATTTATTTTACAGCACAGTACTTATTTCTCCTCCATTAAAACTGTAATTATGGGCTGATGCAAGGTACCCCTTGGGTGCTAGGGTTGTTCGTTTTTTTTTCCTTTGATTTTTAATTTTATTTCCACTCTGTTATTCAGAGATTTTATTTAACAGATCCATATCCTTAGAGTACTGTAAAAGAAAATACTGTATACACTGCTAGGATGAGAAAGGAGAATGATTCAGGTGCATCATTTCATTATGTATTTGTCTCCAATTATTTTGAATGTAACAAAATTATTATTTAATTTAGTAGTCTCATGAATATTATTCACTTTCTGTACAGAAGCTAGGCCATCTTCATGTTTGGGGGGAAATTCTACTTTAAACCTTTTATTTATGTATCTATTAAAATGGTTTAATTTTTATGGCATTCATAAAAGTAACCTGCCTCTTTTTTTTTGCATTAAATGCAGCAATTCTGTTCTTGTTTGTTTTAAATACTCATATTTTAAAAAACTTATTTTTAAAACTCAGCTTTTTATTACTATTATTTTTGGTTCAGGGATGATATTTTAGACCATTTCATTTCTGAAACAGAATTTCTTCTTCCAATATGTACATCATGTGAGACACAGTTCAAACTTTGCCCTTTTCCAAGGTGTCTGCCTAGATGATTAATGGCTGTACTGACTGCATATTCTTGGTGATCTGTGATAATTGATACAATGAATACACACATATAAGTTTCAAGATAAATTATGTTAAGTAAAATTGATGATTCATTTGTTCAACAGCTATAATATTTTGGTAAAATTTAAAATAAGGCTGCTTAAGACCTCTCACTTGACTCAGAAGTCACGTTTATATAAATGGATTAGAGCTGGAAAATTAAACATCCATAAAATCAGTGCACACTAAAATACGAATCATGTTGAATGCTCCAACATTGCATGACCTTTTTTAAAAAGAAACTAACTGCAGACATATACTGCCAAACCCTAGTAATTTGCATATTTTTCAGCTCTGAAACAGAATAAAGCTGTTATTAACAAAAACTTACAAACAACACTTGTCACATTTTAGAATTACATTTTGTAGTGAATATACTGGAGAGAACACAGAAATGGAATCCTGGAAGTTACCTATAAATTGTAATTATAAAAAGATGATGCGTATCTGCATCAGTGTTTAATATTCACTGTTATTTTTCATGCCGTATGGTCCTTAGGAGGAGTAATTAATTTTCTTAGAAATCTGTCTAGCTTTAAGATTCAGACTATTCAGTGAGTGATCGGGAACTCAAATGTTCTCTGATTTCTCAATTTTTTTTTTTTTAATGTACCATTGATGTCCTTGAAATATTAATAACTGTACTCCAAAATGTGGTATATAAAATTCATGTCTTTGAGAAAATACATGTCGGTTTTGTCTTGGAGGAAAAGTGAGACTTTTTAAGTTAGTCTGGATCAGATATCAAGGCATAGGTATATGTACAAATGGGACAAAGATAGAAATTATGAGTTCGTATGATGTACCTTTCTAGTTTAGGAAAGAATCTACATTTTCTTACTAAACATTAGGAGAGAAATGAAGGAAGTAAGAACTAGTTTTGAAAAATTATACTGTCTAGTTTACAACTTAATACATAAATCATTGTATTTGTGTTTAAAATACATCTGTGTTTCACACTGAGCATTCATTTTCCATTTCAGTATTAGAAAGAAATAGTAAGCTTTCTGACTTTTCAGGTCTTTTTAAAAAATGCTAAAATCAGAAGTGTAAGCTGAACAGGACATGAAGAAGGACTAAGATATTTTAATTTATTTTGGCATAGTAGAAACAAGGTGCTGTGGTAAAGTGTTATCCTCATAAGAGTCAATGATCACCCTTTTCCATGAAAGTTTTATGGTTGCTTTGGCTTTTATTGGACAGAAGCAACCAGATAGCGTTATTCTGTGACAACATTTTATTCCGTAATAATTTGCATCTGTCCCCTCTCTGGAGAGATGGGAGTCCTTGAAAGCTATTGGTTCAGAGCAGAACAGTGGATCAGTTCCAGCATGCCTGTATATTAAATAAATGTGCCACGAGAGTGTTTGCAGAGTACACAATGGGAGTTAAGTTTTGTAAGGCTGCAATGGCTCTTAGTTAGGCTGATTCCCTTGAAACTGACACTTGATCTGGTACAGGACAAAAGTTGGATTTAGAGGAAGTCAGAAAACAGTTAACATTTGGAAGCCTTTACAGATGTTTTGCTGAAAACAAAATCCTGATGATTTTGATGATCCTGATGTGAAAGAAACATGTTTCAATTTTCCTGTCTACTTTCAGGCAAAACTTCTTTTTTTCACTCCAACAACACAATGGTCTCTAGATTTTGGTAATACCATGTTGTGAGGAGTTCACACACTCTCACAGAAGGATTTCACAGGTTAGTTATGTCTCAGAATTTGTTACATGTGTGGTCTCAGGGAAGGTAAGAGAGGTAAACACAGTGAAGAGCTCAAAACTGGCTACCAGACATACTGAAACCACAGTCCTATACTATGAAGGAGAACCAACTGTCCTCCTAATCGCTGGGCAGACATAGCAAGGGAGTTACCACTTTACTTGGGCAGATGTATGTGTGCAAAGTCATGCTTGAATACCAATTGATATTTGGTGCAAGTCATTAACTGGTATCTCTATCCATGTTTTTTAAGACATCTAGAAAAAGAGTGGGTGAGGGGAGAAATAGCAAGGGGGGATTTACTTACTATTTTTAAGTGGTCTCAAGCCTTCTATTACTCTGCATGCTATATGGGTGCTAGAAAAAGGCAGGTCTGATTGTAACTCTCTGATCTGGTCTTGGTGACATGCATGCCTTTGGGAGGACCAGCCTGAGGAGGTTTTATCTTCTTTTTCCATGTATCATAGATAGCTGTGGTCCTGGATCATCATTTGTACGTCAAGGAAGCCTGAAGAGTGAGAAGGATAACTGCAGGGAAGAGAGGAAGAAAGAAATAAAAAAGGAAAACCAGAAGCAAGAATGTCTTGCCTTGTGATCTGTGGTCCCTGAACATAGTATACCATGCTGAATTGCTTTTTAAAATCGTGTAAGTGTGGAAAAATATTATCATGTTACCTTCTGATTACTGTTGTGGTGGTGGTGTTGTAAAAGTATAAAGTTGGAGGCAAACCACTATCCTTGCTACAGATAAAGACCAGTGGAAGAATGTGCCAAGGATGGTAAGTAAATCTAAAATGAGAGTCTGCATGGGGGTCATGTTGTAAGATGTGAAGTTCTGTCATGAAGCATGAGTTCTCACAACTAATGGAGTCATTAGTGTCTGAAGACATCCAAAAGTTTTCTGCATCTGCTGGGACATGAGGCTTTCTCGAAAGTGAACCACACCATTAAAGCCTGCAAGTTTCTCTTTCTCCCTGGAAGAAATGGGTGCTGATTGGATTTCAAGCTGATGAAGGAGCCCTCGTGTTTCCATCCATGGAGGATTGTACATAGTGGGTTATCTGAGGTATCATCTAAACAGCATTGAAATTTAGGAGTTTGTGATCACACTGCATAAAATAAACTGCTTTTTCTTTCTCTATGTTTCAGGCACTGCATGTTCAGCAGCCACCACTCATGCTTTAACACAGCCATCCACACTTTAAAAGCTGCCTTTTATAAAGAGCATTAGCTTTCTACCACAGAAAGAGACACAGCACCCAAAGTTAGAACATACAAGGTCAGATCCTGGGCTGCAGCATGTGGGGAATAAAGTAGGAATGGACTTGCTGTTAAAATTTCTTTCAGTTGAGGGAGCTTCGGATTCAGCTGATGGCAAAGAGTAAGAGTGATTTCCACAAAAGAAATGAGGATGTTTGTTCTCCTTAAACTACAAGGGGATACTGAATTCCGCCCAGTGGCATTATTCAGTGCAAATGGGGGTGCTGGATCAGGTTCTACTTAAAAAGTTGTTCAGAAAATCTCTGAAGAAAGAAAAAGGAAGGAAGAAAATAACATATGGTATGTTTTACAGGATACCCCTCCCCCTCCTCATATAGAGATCTATGAACAAAGGATTGTACCTTTTCTGGCTGTTGTTTTGCATTGTACACCAGTCCTGGGAAGGAAAAATACTTGGTAGTTTTCAGTATGTAACATTTGCAGACTAACTACAGGTTCCTTTTGTCATCTTGTTTTAAACCCAGTGAACACTCATTGTTAATCTGCAAGCAAAGCAATTAAAATCTAGTTTACTTCATACCACACATACTATAAATAATGTTTACCTCAGAGAAAAATGCTGGAATATACAATATATTACGTGCTGACTACTGGCTTAATGAATTTTATTCTCAGGAATCGCAATTATTTTTTTTTTTTTTCATTTCCAAGAGCAGGCAGAGAATGCATAGAGAGAAAAAAAGAGTGTAAGATTTAATTTAGCATTTATATAATGCAAGCTTCACTTCAGCATCCCATTCCTCTTCAGCAGAGTACTCAATAACATACTTAAATTCATTTTTGTGGGACCCATGTCAAAGTCTTGATGAAGTAGAGGGGTTTTGTAAAAGGCAGACCAGTGAGTGTGAAAATACAAAACTATTCTCTTTCCCTGAAAAAGAATTGTTTTCACCCCTGCCAAGCAGGTTAGTAATAATAGACAGAAATACAGTTTAACAGCATGAAAGAAAATCCAATTAAGTGTCTGGATTTGAGTTAATGTTGCAACAAAGACATATTTTCCGTTCATTTCAATTAAAATCAGGGCAATGCTGCTAAAGTTTACCTTGTGATTGAAGTAATAAAACAGATTAATTAGTGTTATTGTGAATTTCCATAATGAGTAGAGAACAGGGTCCTGAAATGTCAGACCAGTGTAGCCTGAAAAATGTATTTTTAAATTCCTTGTAAACATCAGACTCTCAGTAAAAGTATTTAATCATCTAAAATTAGTACAGGCTGTGATGTTTGTTGTCATTCCTTACATTTGCTTTAAAAGATCATTTTGTAGAATCACTTTGGCAAGGGCATGTTAATTCTTCCTTTAAATGTGGCTTTGCTTCCAGATTAGCAGCCCAGAACCACATGCAGGAGAAAATCAAGAGGGCTCTAAAAGTACTAATGGCTCTTCATTATAAGAATATAGAGCACAGATTGGGAAAGGATATCACTATTAACAGAATCCAGTATATCTGGAGAGATGGCCCTGTGCGAATATGAAGAGTACCAAGCTGTGACTGGTATAGTACAGGGAATGGAGGAATTGCAAGTTGGTTAAAAGGAACATTTTTGGAGAGTGAACTGAATGTCATTAAAGAAATACTTCAGCCACTATCATCTGGTTTTCTTCTTAACAAAAACAAAACTAAACAAAACAACAACAAGAAGAAAGCCCCCAAAAGCCCCCAAACCAAAACCAAAACAACAAAAAACCCACACAAGCCCCCCCCCCAAAAAAACACAAACCAAACCAAAACCAAAAAAAAAATCAAACCAAACCAAAAAACAAAACAAAAAACAAACAAACAAACAAAAGAACAGAAAACAAAAAACAAAACCCAAACAACTTCAAAGATTTGAATATTGGCAAAACTTTAAAGCTAAGAGCATAACTATAGAAGTCATACGTTTGGGCAACCCTTTTAACTCTTTCTCTGACAGCATACCTTTCTTACAGTGATTGGTTCCAGTTTTGTTTGGGCTTTCATTAGCAGATTTCATTACATTTCATCACTCTGGATGAAGTGAATATAGTTAGTGCTGATAAAGAGTATATTGGAGG